TATTATTTGTGGGTATAAGATGAATAAATTCTGAGGATTTAATGGATAACATGGTGATTGCAGTTGACAACACTGTATTCTATAACTGAAATTTGCTAAAAGAGTAAAACAAATGTTCTCACCAAGAAAAAACAAAAACAAAAACAAAAAAAACACACACACAAAAACAAAGTACATATGTGAGGTAATAGATGTGTTAATTAACTCAGTTGGAGGGAATCCTTTCAGTCTCTATGTATCAAATCATCACGTAGTATACCTTAAATATCTTATAATTTTGTAAGTTATTCCTCAATAAGACTGAAAAAAATATTAAGGGGCACATGGAAACTATACTGTTTTTATTAACTTTTCTTTAAGTTTAATATTATTTCAAAATAAAAAGTTAAAGTACTTTTAAATGTGATTATTTGAAACTTTATTATGAAGGAACCTCTGTCCCAATGGATTTATTAATTGATATGTCACATTAAAATAATGTGACTTAGGTTAAGCCTATTGCAGTAGGGCCATCGCTCAGGTTAATGAAAAGTCAATCCCAAGATATAAAAAAATCCACCTTAGTCACCACTGTTAGTTTGCAAATCCACTAAAAGAGTGTAATGTCACCTACACACAGTTAGTAATCCTGAGGACTTAATGACAGCAGATAATGTTTTGCATGACTAGCAGTGTTATTAAATAAATATACCTTTTGATTTAACATTAACCTGCTTAAACAATAGCTCCACTGAAACCTACGTTTTACCAAAAGAAAGGGACAGGAAAAGATCAGGAAGTGATGCAAAGAAGCATTTTCCAATACGCACTCCCAGCCCTATCCAGGCATTCCTCGCTTTAGGGAACAGTCTCCGTCCATAGCTCTGAACAAACCCTCTGCAATAATGGGAGGGACAGTCGGTTCTGCTATAGCATTTGTTTCTGTCGCATGAATGAAACTCAAAGGCAACTGGTAAATGGAGAAAGGATTTCGGTAGAAAGCAGAAGCTGCATTGGTTCACATGTGATTTTTTTTTTCTTCCAGATCATTAATGTTTTGCTTCATTTATAATAGCAATGGAAGGCTAAGTATACTAACACAGTAAGCCAGGAAGGAATGTATATTATACATTCAACCCTACCCTTAGAAGTGCTTACTGAAAGGTTAACCCTGACCTTTGTTAAACAAATAGATTAGATATAGAGATAGACATATAGATGATATAGAGCTGGAGATAGAGATACAGTTAGAGACAGAGATATGTACAGACAGAGGTATAGACATAGGTATAGATGATATAGACATGGATATAGATATAGATATAGATACTCTTATAGATAATATATAAATATAGATATAGAGATAAGAGATCTATAGATGTAGACAGAGGTACAGACATAGATATAGGTATAGATGTATAACTACTTTACACAAAGCGATGAGCAGAGCATAAATCTCTGATATCAGTACATTTTGCACAAAGTTTACTATCTTTTCTCTACTTGTAACTTCTGATAATAATGTTCCCACTGCCCTTGTATACAAGATATGATCACAAATATGGTAAATGCTCCCGCTGAGCGCCATCCAACGGAAAGGCAGGGATCTTCAGTATGAGAAGAGGCACGTGGAACCTTAGTAACAGTGTGTGACAAATGCAGTCAGTCGGGTGTGAGCTACGGTTGAGAGAAGGTGTGTTTTAAAGTGTGCTGTAAATTATCCTCCATCATGACAACACTCCATGACGGCAATTTCTGTCAAATAAAAACATTACAGTGTGTCCTCATCCACCTTATTCACCGGATCTGACACCGTGAGACTTCTGGCTCTTCCCCAAAGTCAAAATGATTCAGGACGTGGAGGCAGCTAAGACAGAGCAACTAAAGACACTCACAAAAGAGGACTTCCAGAACTGCTTCAGAAAGGGGCAAGAACAATGGGATAAGTGTGTTCAAAGCGAGGGGGAGTATTTTGAGGGGGATCAATGGCAATGTGTCTTTACTGTAATAATTTTTTTTTAACTTAAACATTCACCCTTTTTTATTACACCTCGTACATAGCCACAATCCTTCCTTATAGCACCCTCCAGCAAGCTACCATCACCCTTTTTGTTTTATGAAAAATCCTACATTTACTGCAATGTTTACTTAATAGAAATTTCATATGTATTTTAAAGTGTGCTAGCATTTTTTTTTTAAGATTTTATTGAGGAATTGGGGAAGGGGAGCAGCCAAGTTGTCGTCCTTCAGTCTTAGTTGTGGAGGGAGCAGCTAGTTCAGCTCCAAGTCCAGTTGCCATCCGGCCAGCCATCAGCAGCTCAGGGCAGCTCAGCTCAAGGTGCCGTGTTCAATCTTAGTTGCAGGTGGGCATAGCTCACCATCCCATGCGGGAGTTGAACAGGCAACCTTGTTGTTAGGAGCACATGCTCTCACCAGCTGAGCCATCCTGCCACCTGTTGGCAGCTCAGCAGCAGCTCAGCTCAGGTGCAGCTCACTGGCCCATGTGGAAATCGAACTGGCGACCCTTTGCTCAGAGCTTGCACTCTTAACCAACTGAGCCACTCGGCCGGCCCTGTGCTGCTAGCATTTTTAATGGAATTGTTATTCTTTTCATTAGTACTCTGGTTACAAAGTAGCATAAGCCCTACTGATTTAAGTATTAATCTGCAAACTGCAAAGTTTTCAAGAAATGCATATATAATATTATAGTAGAAATGCTTTATCTCCACATACTCTGAATACATAAAATGCTGCCCCAGGATAAGTTAAAATACAAGCTGTCATACAACTTTGTGTCCAAAGGTTACTTATATATCAATGAAATGTGTTATTAATATCGATTTGTATTTTACACATTTTACATTTAGCCATCAATTCAAAATTTAGTCATGCATTTCTGTATTAGTCACACATTTCTTAAATAGATAGGATAATCTAATGTAGTAATGACAATTTTTATCTAAGTTAAAACCAGACCAATGTATTTTGTAAGAAAAGCAAATATTCAGTGTTTTTTGACAGGAATTAAATGTATGTTATGAACATTAATCGAACCAACATCAACCTTTACAAATGAAGCAGCCTATAAAATATAGAAATATGTAAGGACATGTCTAAAAAGCATTTTTGCTCATTAGATTAAAAAGATACCTTAGACAGTGTCTTTTATAGTATTACATCATGCTAAAGAAGAATTTAGTATGAGACATTTTATTTCTCAAAAAAAGCATCAATTACTGCTTAATTATTTGTTGTGAAATAATATACCAATCACTAAGCATTCTTTACATAAGTAACACCTGCTAGCAACAAGCATTATGAAAGAAAATTTGTTATTTGTACAAGACAGAGATATAGTACATAATAATCTCATTAAAAATACACTTCAACCAAAGTGGTTATAATTTGTTATCAATATCAATTTGAATATACTGTGTTTGAAATTAATCTATATAATCAATATCAATCACTTTAATATTTACATAAAAGAATTGTGTTCTCTTTTCTTTAAATAGTGTATGATATGCTAGGGTACTTTTATGGACCATGCAACCCCAGAATTTCAAGGAACCTTTTTTATTTCCAATTACCTATTCAAATTCACTTGCTTAGAGATAGTCAGCATGTTTCTAATGGGAAAAAAAAATAATGCACAATTGTCTGCTTAGAGTGTGACCTCTTTCACTTGGTTGGGCATCCTCTCCATCACTGACTAAGTGAGGATGTAACCTTGTCAAACGAAAGGCAAAAGAATAATGAGCACGCGACAGGCTAACCCAGCATGAAAAAGGTTGCGAAGGAGATTGCAAAAACAGTACTCTGAATGACAAAAAACGAGTATACGCTGAAGAGTAGGTTAATACTAAAGAGAGCACTCAGGAACAGGAGAAGCATTTAATCCCCATCTTTGGACGTCTGCCATGCAAAACTCCACTCACTTTTACTTATTTGATTAGTTACTAACCAGATTTAGTTCATATAGTTTCAGATGAATCCTGGTAGAACAGGCTTGACAGAGACACATTTATAAATTATCTATTTCCGCAAAGCACTAGCCAATGGTAAGTATAATCAAGTAGATGATGTTTCTGCTTTCACTTAACAATTTTAAATAACACCCAACGAGAAACAATCACTCCAATTCAAGAATCAGATATACCCGTATAAACTGGAAGTCGTCACCAAACAGTAGACTCTTAGTACTGTTAAAACAAAGGACAGTAACTGCTACATTAATTGCTACCGCGATGCACTAATTGGCACAATAGGGAATCATATTAAAAAATTTTTGTAAGTGTCTGAAACCAGAAGAAATAAGCCACGTTCTCTTTCAGTCTTCTCAGTGTGAATTTACTTTTAAAACAAACAACCAAAAAAAAATCTCAAATCTAAATCATTCAAGCATATACTAGGAATATGTATTATATCATTGTGACAATTATGCACACTTTGACATTCCTTTTTTACGTTAAGACGAATACATTTTATGTTCCTGACCAGTCATAACACTTGAACAGAGAAACAGTGCCATCTTTTGGTCCCAAACAAAAGCTTCAAGTATACTAGTCTTCCAAACTTCCTTTTTTTGGTTAAATTACTGATATACCTATATATAAATGTCATCAAATACCATGTCACAATTATCATCTTCTAGAAATATGTATTCTGTACCTATACAAACTAACAAAACATGATAATAAGAGATTGCTTGCAAGATGCAAAATTTCAAAATAATGCAAACTAATACCAAATACATGTACTCTAGATCAATATAATTAACAATCAACATTTCATTAAACACGTTTTACCATACCCAAGTATGTCAATCAACTGACATATTTTAAACATAAAATAAAAATCTTTTCTATAGCATTGTTACACTTCACAATTGATTTTTTAAAACAGTACATTTTAAATGTACTTATTAATTTTATAATTGACACCATGGTATTAGCAGGTTACCAGTTAAATCAGATAATTATCATTTATATGCAAATATAGTATGTTTCTGATTTACTTACACCAATGACACAATGTCACCACGTTGGACTTCAAAATTCCTCATTTTCCAGTGGTTCAAAAGCACCACATCAGATGACTGGCTCCCCCCAGGATTCAAGGAAGGCTACAAAAAAGGAGGAAGAGGCACATCTATCATTTGTATTTGTCCATCTTCACGGTTCCTTGCTCTTCAAAGTTCTAGTGCAGGGCAATAAAACATTTCGAATAGAGTCCCTCTCAATAAATTGCCCTTCCAAAGTAACTGCAAATGATGACTTTTCAAAAAGGCTCATTCGTGTTCTTCACAGGGGAACCAGGAAACAAATACATTACCAATACTTATATTAAAGGAAAACATGCTGGATAGTTAAATCTCTACTAAACTCCAGGAAAGAAATATGGAAAGCTTTAAGGATTAAAAGGAAAAAAAAAAAAAACTTGAGGAAGAAGTGAATCAAATCTCCCAACAGAATATTCAGATAGGCGCTAATTCCACAACAGTACGTACTATTGTTCCATCCGCGGAAGAATAATCTCCAATGAACCAGGAAAACACCCATAAGAAGTAGTGAAGAAGGGAGTGGAAGAGACAGTGATGGGACCCCCATGGAAAATGTGGGAATTTCCCACCCCAACCTCTCTCTTCTCGTGAGAGCTCGCAGCCTGGGTCCTGGTCCCAGTACAACCCTAGTAAGCGGTTTCAGACTAGGATTCAGACAAGTCTTGATGTGCCTCAGGATTGATGGGCAAGAATTGAGAAATACTTTGTGTACAAATTCCTCTGAAGGTCAGGAACCATGGGGCATAACAGTGTGACTGAGGAAGCAGGAAGCCAACACACCTGCCACGTGGACAGCGTGCAGAGAGAGCCAACCACAAGTCGGAACCCTGAGGTGGCAGTGGTGGGACAGAGAACAGAAAAACAGGGAGCTTCTTCACCATTAATTCTGCAGTGTCTCTGAGGACATCATGAGGGGACGCATCCATTCATGTGGTGCTGGAACCTTCGCTGATGGTGATGGCAGAAGATGCCACAGCAAGCAGGGTGGGAGAGAGGCAAACGTGGATGCCAGACACCAGCCAGGCCCTGGAGCAGTACTGACAGCGTCTTTTCGAAAAATCCCTGGAATTATTTGAGGATTTTCTACAAAGCAGATGTGGGCAACACTGCAGACATTTTGCGTAGGGGATATTATGGCCTTGTTTTTGACTCCCTAGGTTTTCTGTGCTAAAAACTACTGGTTATCCTTCGAGACCTCACACGCTCTCACAGCTGCCACCAACTTCTTCATGTGATAATGCCTAAATACCTCTATGTGTAGCTGTGAATTCTCTGCTAATCACTTCACTTGACTATCTGACATAAAAGTCAATATGATTAAATAAAGTTTGCCATCATTTCCTACCAAAAAATCAAAGTTTTCTTCTTTATTTTCTTATATTCTATTTACCATTTTCCCAGTCAACCAGCTTAAAATCTCAGTTATCCTTTTACTTCATAGCCAGTCACCAAGCTAAAGGTTTTTATTATTATTATTATTATTATTATTATTATTATTATTATACATAACATCTTTCACATATGGCCCATCGTTTCTCTCTACCATCATCATATTTCCATCACCAATCATCATATAACTCACCATGTATCACCATTAATCTCACCTCTAACTCAGAAAGAAATGATTCCATTTCTTTCTAGCTATATGACCTTAAGGACGTTACTTTACTAAGTTTCAATTTCGTTACTAGTAAAATGGTGATGATTATAACTACTATGCAATTAATAATTAAATATTGATAACAGCCAATACTTACTGAGTGCTTTCCCTAGAAAATCTCACCAATATCCTCAGTTGCAAATATCGCCCATGTACCAACTACTCCTAAATCCACAGTCCCAAATCCCTTGCCCCTACTCTACGCGTAAACTCAATCCACAGCACTTCATACCACAACACTTAGCATACTGTCATGTAATTTTTGTTTACCTATCTGTCTCCACAACCAAGTAGGACACATGCTTTATCCATTATTGTAACCGCTAGTCAAACTTGTACTCCAGCCCCAACTTGGTCGCTGAGATTCTAGCGCATAGTTCTAACTGGTAGCTGGGCATCTTTTTTGACCAAGCCATTCCCCAACTTAAAACCCTTCATTAGTTTCCCATCACTATCAGCATGGCTGTCTTCAAGATAAAAATCAAGACACACATGATCTGCAGGACCCTGTCAATCATCATTGTCACAGGTCCTACAAGTCAAACTGAAGCACAAGCAGTGCCCTGTACCCAGGTTATTTCCTCACTTCCAAGGCATTATAGAAGCAAATATTTCTGCCTGAAATGTATCCTGCTGTCTCCACCTTCCTGCCATCTGGTTAACTCATACTTCAGAGCACTCGAACCCCATGAGGCAATCTCACGGGAGTTCTCTCCTAATACCCCCCATCTTTCCTTCTCCCCATTTCCATCCTCGGACTCCATTAAGTGATCCAAGTCCCAAGTTCCCATCACAGCTTGCTCATTGCTGTCATAGCGTATTTAAATGTGTATTATATTATTCCCTGTGTCTATCTGTAAGAGTCTGTATCTATCCGTAAGAGTCTATAAGCATTTTGATGCTTATAGATCATTTCTTATGTCTGTGCTCATGACGCCTGAGCACAGAAGGTGATTAATAACTTTAAGTGGAAAGAGTCAAAAAAAAAAAAAAACCAACAACCACAACAACATGCCGAAAGCAGAGCCCATAGTCTACCCCAATTATACTTCTCCGTTCCCCTCCTTGATAACCCTATTATTACCACTCCCCTACCCCCGCACTAGAAGTCTTCAGTCATCCTCAGGCTCAAACTCCCTCTTTGAATCTCCTATCATCAGACTTTCCCTCTGCCCACAATGCCTGTCCCTACTTGAAAAATGTGACCTATCTTTCAAGGCACAGCTCATATGGTGACTTCTCCGTGAAGCCTTTTAAAAAAGAAAAGGAAAACGCTGCAGTTTCCTTGCAGAAATTAAGAATTTACAGCCTGGTGCTCCAAGGCTGGGGGCAGAAGAACCCCCATAGACGCAAACCTTGACACTTGGACCGATCTCTCCTTACGGAGTCACTCCCAGACCAGCCTTCCTAAAGCTAGCTGTTAGAGCTGAAAGGGAGGGCGCTGTAAACAAAAGGCTGACGCCGGGGAGGAGAGCAAAACAAAGCAAAACGGACACCAGAAGGAAGCACATCTGATTTCAAACAGTAAAACATTAGAGTCATCAGTCAGTGCCTGGAAGACCAGGGTAGATTCTATACAGGAAACAGCAGTTTCCTTT